ATAACTAGGGATGGGACGGTTCGTTTCGGTTCGGTTCGGTTCGGTTTTTCGGATCATCAGCCGTCGGTTCGGTTTTTTTCGGTTCGGTTCATTCATTTTAAGGATTTGTATTGATTGACATGATTAGCTGCTTTGTCTCTGACTTCACTGCTGACTCGACTGTCACTTTCTTTTAATACAACTAATAAAATAACTAATTTATGTTTGTAGAAACCTTTATTATTTACCAGGAACCACATGATTGATTACCGAGGGATACGAATACGCGGATACGAAACGAATCTAGTAAACGAGTGAGCTAGCAACAGACAAGACAGACAAGGTAGGGACTAGGAATATCAAAAATGTTGCTGTAAAACAGTGTTTTTAACTGTTTTATTGATACTTGCCCAATGAAATATTAATCCGAAAACGATCCGAAAAGCTGATCCGAAAGTAGGGCCGTGATCCGAAAACCGATCCGAAGGCTATGAACCGCGGTTTTTCGGTATTTCGGTTATCCGTCCCACCCCTACTAATAACACTTTTGGTGGAGGAGACCATTTTGAAAAATGGCGACCATTTTTACATTTTTTACTATAACTCAAAAAGTAGTAGAGCGATTTTGTTCATATTTTTATATGTGAATACTATAAGCATGGCACACTGTCTAATGACACTTTGGGTAGTAGGCGACCATTTTGAAAAATGGCGACCATTTTTATTTTTATAACTATAAATTGAAAAGTAGTGGAGCGATTTTGTTCATATTTGGTATGTGAATACTATAAGCATGGCACACTGTCTAATGACACTTTGGGTACTAGGCGACCATTTTGAAAAATGGCGACCATTTTTACATTTTTTACTATAACTCAAAAAGTAGTAGAGCGATTTTGTTCATATTTTATATGTGAATACTATAAGCATGGCACACTGTCTAATGACACTTTGGGTAGTAGGCGACCATTTTGAAAAATGGCGACCATTTTTACTTTTATAACTATAAATTGAAAAGGAGTGGAGCGATTTTGTTCATATTTGGTATGTGAATACTATAAGCATGGCACACTGTCTAATAACACTTTTGGTGGAGGAGACCATTTTGAAAAATGGCGACCATTTTTACATTTTTTACTATAACTCAAAAAGTAGTAGAGCGATTTTGTTCATATTTTTATATGTGAATACTATAAGCATGGCACACTGTCTAATGACACTTTGGGTAGTAGGCGACCATTTTGAAAAATGGCTACCATTTTTACTTTTATAACTGTAAATTGAAAAGTAGTGGAGCGATTTTGTTCATATTTGGTATGTGAATACTATAAGCATGGCACACTGTCTAATGACACTTTGGGTAGTAGGCGACCATTTTGAAAAATGGCGACCATTTTTACATTTTTTACTATAACTCAAAAAGTAGTAGAGCGATTTTGTTCATATTTTATATGTGAATACTTTAAGCATGGCACACTGTCTAATGACACTTTGGGTAGTAGACGACCATTTTGAAAAATGGCGACCATTTTTACTTTTTTAACTATAAATTGAAAAGTAGTGGAGCGATTTTGTTCATATTTGGTAAATAAATCTTATTTGCTTATTTCAGGATGTATGGCATGGGTAATCAGCATGTCAAAAACATATAGATAGAATATGGTGGAATAACAGCAGGGAATAGATGGAAAAACAGATTGCATGTAGAATTGCCGCAATACTTCACCTGTATTTATCGTAAAAAACAACTTTTATTTAATTCACTGGAAGGAGCTGTTGACAGATGAACAATTAGGATGATAAATGATATGAGATGGCTTGAGAAATGACAACATTACATCACCAGGATTTATATACATATATATTAGCTGATTAAAAAATAAAAAGACATATACAACAATAGGCATAATATATGATACAAGATGGCGCACAAGGATTTATGTACATACTACAAATCATATTCATAGATACTTAAATGATACCAGATGGAATGATGATGTGTGACAGTTGTGATTCTTATAGACCATGATATGAGTCAAGTGTGGAGATGCCCCCTCCCCCCACACAAACAATAGCATTATGAATCAAGTGTGTACATGCCACCCCTCCCAATAGACTTTAGCAACATTTCAAAGATTAAAGACTGATGTTGATATAATTCAGTACAATGATGAAAAATGGAAATTATTTGCAAGGGTAATATAGTATGGTAATTACATAGAGATGTGTGATGGCTTGATAGCATATACTTTGATCAGCATTAGTCAAGTTCTGAAATCACTTTATCCCGCAGCAAATTTTTTTACCCAGCGCCGGGATATGTCAGGTCTCAATTAATTATATCCCGTCGTTTGCAAAAAAAAAATTACGGGACAGTGAGTTTGAGAAACTGACTGTCCCGAGGCTCAGTGCTACAAAGTGCTCATACGGGATAAAGGTGTTTGCAATTGCGACTATCCCGCGAGCCCTATAAAATTACGTGACAGTGTAACTGTGATTTATTATATCCCGCTCTGTGAAAAACATTTGTCGGGCTTGGGACTAATAATCAGATCTCCTTTTCGGGCCCTTAATCTTATCACTTTTGTTTACCTTTTTACTCAGTCGGAGAGAAGGAATCCAAAGAGAGCAATAATTCTACATGTGCGTCGTGCAAGATTTCCATTAAACGTGTAACTAAACGGCCTCTCTAATAAAGTCAATTAGACGTTTTTACACGTTGGCTCTCCAAATTGGAGGAAATAAAGAATCATATCATATTATATCATAGATGAAGCAATCATCCCATCAACATAAGCTCACGAATGTCACAGTTAAACTGTTTTAGTTATAATTTGTTATAGATTGGGTTGCTAAAGCTTGCCATGTTAAAGGCGATTGAACTATGTTATAGAACAACGTCCAGTACATTATAATATTTAAAAGTATACATTTTTAAAAATACATATAAAGGATCTTCGCCCGCAGGACGTGTATTTTGAATGCCTTGAGAAGAACGCAAATATGGGTAATGGGTAACGGTGTTGCACTGGTAGCATTTAAAAATCTGTTCCTCTCGAGATCTATGGTCTTCTGAAATTATACTATTAATTGGTGTTGCTGCATCATTGCTCAAATCTAGAGGAGTGTTGTTGCATCTTCGGTTTGGTGTTGTTGCATCAATAGTGAGGAACTAAAACCGTGAACTTATTGCTTCTTGGTGATGGTACATGTATACTAATGACAGTTTCTTTAAATATAGATCGTGCGCTAACTGCACGTGTATGGTTATTGAGCAACTCGTCCTAGAAATGGGTTTAAATTGGGGAAACAAAATATCGTACGGTAATCTATCACCGGAAGTCTGGCCATCTTGATGCAACAACACGGTGTTGTTGCATCACGATACTCCCCAGTGTAGACAGTGATATAATAAAACAAATATTTCACTCTATTTTCGGTGAATACCCGTAGCACTTTCACAAGGTGATATTCCACTTGCCCTTCGGGCTTCGTGGAATATCACTTGTGAAAGATGTACAGGTATTCACCTCAATAGAGTGAAATATTTGTTCAATATTCACAAGTCAAGATAGACTTAATCCATTGATATTTTAATTTTATATATCCCCGGGAGTACATTGCTACGATTAATTAACAGCAATAGTTTATTATTCCATTAACGGGTGTGAAGAATATAACACTGTGAACAATAAAACAAATATTTAATTCAATTTTGGTGAATACCCGTGACACTTTCACAATATGATATTTCACTAGCCTCATCGGGCTTCGTGGAATATCACGTAATACCGCAGTGATAGAGGCAGTGACAGAGCATCATCGTGGATGTATGTGAATAGTACATTGACTCAAATGAGGATAGGCTATACAATATTTCGAAAGCGACATTTCCTAAATAATTTCACAACTCTAGATAGCCCTTATGCACCTCTAAAGCCTACAAGACAGCAAAATATAAAGTGATAATGTATCTAGACGTCTGAGAAATTTAAATCCAAATTATGCATTGGACAATTGTCTTTTACAATCAAATTCATTTTTTGAAAACATGATGGATTCATTTGCGAAATAGAGAAAAGAAGCCATGAAATAAAAGCATAATGATGATCAATATACTCAAACGTGACTTTACTCTCGCGTGATTCATGTTTTAAAGGACTTAACTTCTACATGGTTTGGTTTGTCAGGGAACTATATGTAGATCTATAACCTTTTCACGCGAAGTTCTCAATTGTATACAAGAATGTTCTGTAAATAACTGATGTACCTAACATTTCCTAGTGTGCTGTTAGTATAAAAAGCATTTTTCATAATGAATTAAACGTTAATTTATTTTTGAGTACTATACAGGTGTGTCAACTGAATCAGTTTCTCCGACGGAACATCGCTAGTGTTTCTGCTCTGAAGTGTGTACCACTTAAAAGGTACAAGGCAAAGTTAATGCTATGATTACTGTACATAAGCAAAAAGAAACATGTCCGGGCAAGTCGAATTTTTGCCATATATCTAGGCTCCCGGTCAGTGATATCGGAATATATGATTTCCATTCCAGCTATGCAGCCTGTGCAAAATATAAAGAAAACAGATATTATAATGGGCATCGTAGACTGCCTCCAGTCGGAAGATGATTGTTTTCTCCCTGTAATCATGTTGACTTCATTATGGTTTTCTCTTACAGCCGGTTGCAGCGATAAAACAGGGACTGATCTGGGTCCAATATCGGATATGCCGAATCCGCGATCGGGAAGATTGAGTAAATCGAGACGTCTGACGGATTTTAACTCAACATCGTCCAGTGGAGCTATTCTTACAGCTGATGCAGTTATTAGCGAAGAACGTCTTTGACCGGACATCGGGACGGGTATATCTATCGAGAGCAGTGCAGGTACTTGAAAAAGTATCTTGCGATTCCTCAACGTGATAATTACTTTGATGGACAAAGCAGCGCTTAATGCAGTTAAAAGAATCATTGGTACAAGAGAATACAACATAAAATCTATCCAAGGCCATATGAAACGCATCGATCCTCTTATAAAGCAACGTGTCTGATAAACTATATTTCCATCTGTTTCGATGGGATCTTGTATGAGTTCATAGATCCAAAACAAAGATGCGTCGATGCAAACAAGAACGAGTCCAACTATGCAACACGTGACTTTCACGACACGTACCATTGCGATGGAGGATGTTTTCAATGGCATGAAAACGACTATGGTTCGTGTGGCGGCGATAAGCACCACAAGCCCAGATGCGTAATGTCGCACAAAGTGATACACAAAACCCCCGAATATTTTACATGTCACGTTAGATAACATCTTTAAGTCATATCCACTGACCTTTCCTATCCAGTACCGAACTCCACTGAATAAAAGCACTCCCGAATCCGCACACGCCAACACTGAGATGATTGCGCATATTGGAAGTTGTCTCATCCGTCGACGCCGGGTCACTAAGAGACTTAGATAGTTCCCTGTACATCCAAGAATCACAAGTATTGGAATGACGTAAATATATAGATCGATGGAAAGCCTGTATTCAAAATGTTGTTTCAATAGTTTGTCATACTCAAGTGCTGTTTCACCAGTGGTATCGTTCAAGTAGCTACCTTCTGTCGTTGTATTAATCTGCGGCATGTCACAAAACGAGATTGTCTTTTGACTCCGAGCCACCAAAGCGATAATGCCACTCAGAATGACATGCTGGTCTTATATATACTGCTAAAAGCCGGTTTCGTCGGAAAATATTATAAGATCACAAGATTAGCAAAATAATTTTCCAAGAATGTGAACCCAAGACTTAATGAAATGTTGAAGAATTTTAGCACGAGGGTATTTTCTTAGACTTTGAATGAGGGCGGTAGCTCGAATATGATTAACACACATAACACTACTGCATTAAAAAACCGACAATTTTATTTGCTTTATGTTTTGTTTACAAATTGCGAAAAAATTGCAATATTACTAGAAACAATAAAAGCGAACTCAAACTTTTTACACTGAAGAGTTTTTGCTAGATCAACAGTTTTGGATATAATCAGTTCGAGCTTTTTATATCTTGACATCAAACGGTTTGCGACGATTTTGGTTGTGACATGTAAACATATCTTTATTAACAAGAAGTTTGGGATAGTAAATGCAAAATGTCCGCCTTAAAGGGTGACGCATATCATTTAGCAAATCAAACGCCCGTTTCTGGTGTTGCTCACCATTTAGTATAAAAGGCTCGATCCCGGAATAATACTCAAGGGTTCAAAGGCTCGAGGTCGTTGTGTCAACACCTCTAACTTTTATATAACATTGGTACAGTATAGATCGTCACACATTTATAAAAGGGAGATTTTCATTTTATACGGGAAGCTTATCGGAACCCCTTAACATTTTTCCTTTAAGCTAGTCAGTTCTAAACGTTTATACCAAGAAACATCCCTCAAAATATAAGATCGATCCATCAAACAGAATTGAATCGTTTAGATTGGACTTAAAAGCACCGATTTGAGGACGGAAATGCTTAATGGGTGTCTTAAACTACCAAGCATGCCCAGAATCCGGTAGGATTAAGATCTTCAAACCTCGAATCATTCCTAAAATCTGAAATTAATCCCCTAAATAAACAAAATAATCCGGTTGGCATACCTGACATATTTATCTCGTATCTTTAATAAAGGTAAAATCAGATATAGAAAGCAACGTTTCTAAGAACTTTGTCTTAATCAGTATGTTTTAATCTTGTGTCTTTCTTTCAGGAAATAAGTATATTGGATCTTGATATCACGAAGATAAATATGATGATCAAGATTCAATTGACGATACGAAGGTAACCGAATGTCTCTCTTATCGACATTTTATCAACTAAGCTCTTGAATGAATACGAACTAAATTAAGTAATTCAAGCACATTAGTTATGATCAATTGCTTATAAAAAATGTTATATGAATATCTTTTTAGCCATTAGGGCTAGTAAATCATTGAGAGAGAAGCGATCCCCGCATTCACATTCAAGTCCTCTTAAAACACGAAGCTTAACTTCTAGTGCTCAAATACATTTTACGCTTTCACTCATGTCCAAATATGTTTTAATGTCTTGCTGTCGACCTGGTATATTATATAAGAGGAATCCATTATTTAAAAGTCGTGTCTATTACTCCAATGTGTAGTTGGTGCACAGAAAGGTGAGTATATTATGTAACTAATATTACAATTGTGTTAGATTAACCTCCAAAGGTAGATGTCTGTTTCCGTGTACTTTTCATTATGGTTGTTTAGGTTATAGACATATGACATGATTGTTGTTATTAAACGAGCAACATGTGACAAGGTCATACTTACACCTATGTAACGCCCTCTTTGTCGTACGAGATTTCCCCATAAGTAGCCATCTTTGATTTCCAAGGGCTGAAGTTTTCAACTTTGATAGAAGTCAAACTTTTCCACAGTGAGTTTAACGATTGTTCCCCAGCTCCTTTATTTGTTTTCATCGGGAGTCAGATACTTTTATGTCAATTCCATGACACATTCAATGAGAAAGGCGTCCGTGTCCAAAAGTCCAATATTTTGTTCGATGTCGAAATGGAGTTTGTCCCATGGAACAGGTTTAGCATCAATACGTTTTGTATCCCCCTCCAAGACACACTTATACTAAATATACTCCTTTAACACAAGGTGGGAAAATCGATAACGGAAGGTAAAGCCTTAGGGAACAACTAGATTGGAGCGGGTATGAATATAGTAAGTTGGTTATTTGGTTTCCTGTATAAAAAAGTATTTTCTCCTTTTCTTACCCGTCGCAGCGCAATCTAGTGTTTGATAAATTAATAAAGGTTTATTCTCGATAGGGTAAGTACTAATCTATCAGGAAACATTTACAAGTTTGGTTAGAAACAGCATTTTTAGAGATGGCGGATTGAATTTCGAGACTGAAGAGCAAAATATTTTTTCTGAAACAGGTAGCGTTACACTGGTAGTTCTCTCCAGATTCCGTTATCTCAAAAACGATGTGGTCACCGTATCATTATCTTGTAACGGCAAGCTGGACAAGACTCCAATGAACACTGAGCACTGTTTCGCTGAGCTAGATATGCCCTTGAATATATTAATTATGAAATGAAACGTTGAAATGGTCCTAAATTGGATTTTAACTGCAATCTTGACCCTATGTGAAAATCACATGTTGGAGAATAATATCTTATCGCGAATTGAAAAAGCGAACGACACAATCGTATCAATGATACCAGATGTAATAAATATCCAGTCAAAGACAAGTTTTCAATTCAAAGCTGGGTACACACAAAATACAATCATATTCGGCCATATAATCATCATTTATATTCGACTGCAAAAGGTGCATATACTGGTCTGGGTCAGATTAAATGGTGATGGTCTCATTAACATGTAATTTTTTTTTTAGTTAAGGTTACATTAAATTGTTATTCTTTCACATTAGTCATGCCGAAGATCTACACGTATATCTTCAATGTTAATCTTGGAAAAACAATCGTCTTGGCTGCCCTCAAAACACGTGAGCCCGTGTGTATAGATCACGCTTAACACGTTTTAGAATAGTTTGTTCGTGAACTTCTATGATCCTAGGGACTGCTACTCCAAGGAATCTTTTTCTTATCCCTTTATATTCAATCGGTAAAAATAATGCAAACATTGAAAGGGAGAGCTTATTCTTGAAAAACCGTATGGGTGGGCTTGGGGTAAATGACATTCATGAATGTATGTCATATCTGAGCACCGACCTGAAGAAAATGATGATTTCTAATGACAAATTATAAACATTATTTGAAAAGTGATCCAAAAGGGTTTTCTGGTTACCAAACTTGTGTAGATGGTGTACCACGTGCATGTTATTAACGAAACAGGTGGTTCTATGGGTCATATTTTCTGTATTTATTAAATCAATTTTTATCAAAGCAATACATTACAGGTTAATGCGTCTACATTTACAATACATTCAATGGTACATGTATGAAATCTACTGTACATAAAGATATGCACAGTATACATATATACAGGGCGGACCAAAATAAACAATCCCCAAGTTTGAAGATGAGTGACTTCAATTCGAATTCCCGAATTTCCCTTCACTTAGCAGTCGGCAGCTGCACTCAATATGTTTGATTGGATCATTATAAATTTAAAGAGTAATGCACAATTGATTTATAAAAAAGCTATTTGTATTACTGCTTCACTTAGCAGTCGGCAGCTGCACTCAATATGTTTGATTGAGTCATTATAGATTTATTTAAGAGTAATGCACAATTGATTTATAAAAAAGCTATTTGTATTACTGCTTCACTTAGCAGTCGGCAGCTGCACTCAATATGTTTGATTGAGTCATTATAGATTTATTTAAGAGTAATGCACAATTGATTTATAAAAAAGCTATTTGTATTACTGCTTCACTTAGCAGTCGGCAGCTGCACTCAATATGTTTGATTGAGTCATTATAGATTTATTTAAGAGTAATGCACAATTGATTTATAAAAAAGCTATTTGTATTACTGCTTCACTTAGCAGTCGACAGCTGCACTCAATATGTTTGATTGGATCATTATAAATTTAAAGAGTAATGCACAATTGATTTATAAAAAAGCTATTTGTATTACTGCTTCACTTAGCAGTCGACAGCTGCACTCAATATGTTTGATTGAGTCATTATAGATTTATTTAAGAGTAATGCACAATTGATTTATAAAAAAGCTATTTGTATTACTGCTTCACATAGCAGTCGACAGCTGCACTCAATATGTTTGATTGAGTCATTATAGATTTATTTAAGAGTAATGCACAATTGATTTATAAAAAAGCTATTTGTATTACTGCTTCACTTAGCAGTCGACAGCTGCACTCAATATGTTTGATTGAGTCATTATAGATTTATTTAAGAGTAATGCACAATTGATTTATAAAAAAGCTATTTGTATTACTGCTTCACTTAGCAGTCGGCAGCTGCACTCAATATGTTTGATTGGATCATTATACATTTGTTTAAGAGTAATGCACAATTGATTTATAAAAAAAGCTATTTGTATTACTGCTTCACTTAGCAGTCGACAGCTGCACTCAATATGTTTGATTGGATCATTATAAATTTAAAGAGTAATGCACAATTGATTTATAAAAAAGCTATTTGTATTACTGCTTCACTTAGCAGTCGACAGCTGCACTCAATATGTTTGATTGAGTCATTATAGATTTATTTAAGAGTAATGCACAATTGATTTATAAAAAAGCTATTTGTATTACTGCTTCACTTAGCAGTCGACAGCTGCACTCAATATGTTTGATTGAGTCATTATAGATTTATTTAAGAGTAATGCACAATTGATTTATAAAAAAGCTATTTGTATTACTGCTTCACATAGCAGTCGACAGCTGCACTCAATATGTTTGATTGAGTCATTATAGATTTATTTAAGAGTAATGCACAATTGATTTATAAAAAAGCTATTTGTATTACTGCTTCACTTAGCAGTCGGCAGCTGCACTCAATATGTTTGATTGAGTCATTATAGATTTATTTAAGAGTAATGCACAATTGATTTATAAAAAAGCTATTTGTATTACTGCTTCACTTAGCAGTCGGCAGCTGCACTCAATATGTTTGATTGAGTCATTATAGATTTATTTAAGAGTAATGCACAATTGATTTATAAAAAAGCTATTTGTATTACTGCTTCACATAGCAGTCGACAGCTGCACTCAATATGTTTGATTGAGTCATTATAGATTTATTTAAGAGTAATGCACAATTGATTTATAAAAAAGCTATTTGTATTACTGCTTCACTTAGCAGTCGGCAGCTGCACTCAATATGTTTGATTGGATCATTATAAATTTAAAGAGTAATGCACAATTGATTTATAAAAAAGCTATTTGTATTACTGCTTCACTTAGCAGTCGGCAGCTGCACTCAATATGTTTGATTGGATCATTATAAATTTAAAGAGTAATGCACAATTGATTTATAAAAAAGCTATTTGTATTACTGCTTCACTTAGCAGTCGGCAGCTGCACTCAATATGTTTGATTGGATCATTATAAATTTAAAGAGTAATGCACAATTGATTTATAAAAAAGCTATTTGTATTACTGCTTCACTTAGCAGTCGGCAGCTGCACTCAGTATGTTTGATTGAATCATTCTACATTTGTTTAAGAGTAATGCACAATTGATAATTAATAAAAAAAATAATTAAACGATTCTCAACAATTTGGAAGTCCGAAGTAAATAATTTTTTTTCGCTCATGACACCTCATTCTCCACAAAAAACAAATACTGTAGTAGTTTTAAATAGGATGGTGTCATATTGTTAACAAATGATTTATCTTTAAAATGATATTAATGCATGGCATGATTGAATATATAGAGGATATCCTATGCTTTTTGAGGGATACCATTTTTATCCATGAGTGGATGTCGTCAATTTCCACGAGTGAGCGCAGCATTTTCACATTTTTTCAAAAAATAATCTTAATAGTATCCGTCGGATACGATTGGATATCACGTCATATGGATCGGATACGATTTAAGACGCGCATATCAAAATTATCTTGTGTCGTTATCCCCATATATATTTAGTATCCATCGGATAAATAGAGGATGTTCTTTTTATTCCATAGTTAAAGTCATCATCAGAATCGTCGGAAATTAAGTTATTTAATTTGAATTTCCAAACGATCCGGCGATGTTGACACTTAGTCTCGTTTTGAGTCTGAAGTAGCAAAAATCCATAAACCATCGCATACGACGTCGTATGTCATGGCTAAAAAACCTTATGTTATGGTTAAGTGAAAATTTGTCAAAAATATCATATTTTACCACTGATTACAAAAAAACGTTTTTATTTTCACATGTTATCCTATGAATATCATGCTAACTATGGAATAAATATTAGTATCTTATGATATTTATCATAAAACTTGGATATTGTTTGTTTGCGCTCACCCTGTTGTAAATTTTTTTTTACAATTCAAGGTTTAAATATTTAACTGAATTTTACGCTACATGAGCATTTATTTTCTTAGGTTTCGATGCCCAAATCAACTTACTCACTTTCGACATTTTGAAATAACATAAAAAATAATTTTGAAAAATATCAACCCTAATGCGGACAGCGTGTTTTTTCATAAAATAACGGGAGAGGGGGTCGGAATGACCCTATCCCCAGCGTTTCCAAAGTTGAAGAGATACAAGTTACCATGTTATAAAATTCATTCAAAACTATCGAGAGAGGTTTATTAAGATCTCAAAAGTCTGACGCGAGAGTGGAAGGTACTGGGTTCGATTCCCATATGGGGTATTGGATTAACAAACTCCATTTTAGGTCTAGTATCTGGCTCGGTACACTACAACTCCCCGACGGACGTGCCCAAGGGTCGTTACAGTATGTTATAAAACTCATTCAAAACTATTGAGGGAGAATCACTAAAATCTCAAAAAGTAGGACAAGTGAGGTCAAAAGTAGGTTAAAGCAAAGTAACACAGAACACAATTTTTGGTTTATTGTCCCATCCCCGCCCGCATAAGGGTTAACATCTAAAATTGACATCATTTCTTTAGCGCGGTGGACCTTTCTAACCTTATACATGTAGGCTAGTTCAGTTAAATATTAAAAACGTGTAATTTACATAGAATTGTCCATAATACAAATATAGCATATTTACATAAAACAACCATATTATGCAATACATGAATCACAAAATCTGATGAACAAGATACTAAATGTATATTTTAGCTTAATATCTAATAATTGAATACAGTATAGCAACGTTCTCTTTGGCTTCAGCCAAATTTCAACGAGTTTCCCAATTTTCCCAATTTTAATTGATCAAAATCGTTTCCAAGTATATCATTCAAAATAACACAAACATGTGAGTAACAGTACAGTTAAACCGGTCTGTTCAGAGCGCCTCTGAAACCGGCAAAAAGTGCTAAGTTTAGCAGGTGTTTGCATGTCAAGGTTTTATAAACATGGCATAGAAAAAGTAGCGACATTGAGAGATGTTCGGATAAGAGAGGTGTTCGAATATACAGGTTTCACTGTATATATGTTCTAAGGAATAGTACACATGCTTAAATTATTTTACACCTGAAGGTTTGTATACCAGTACACTAGACTAAATATAAGAGAGGTGTTCGGATGTACAGGTTTCACTGTATATGTATGCTAAAGAATAGCAGAAATATTAAGATTATTACACCTGAAGGTTTGTGCGACAACAGGACTTAAGTCCTCCCGAGGATAAAGTTCTCCCGAAGATAAACTCCTCTCGAAGATAAAGTCCCGAGACAAATAACAATTTGTAAAATAATATGGATGCTGATCAATTTGAGCTAAAAAAATAAGAACGAAAAAAGAATAAATTAACGTTTTAGGTCATCGCTTTCAAAAATAAATCATGTTGAACACAAGGATCAGTTTTGAAACAACTTAAATTTCGAAACAACTAAGATAAAATGTTTAAGTTTTCTTGGGCAGTTCATCATCAGAGCAAAATCAATATAATTTTGTTAAATACACAGCTGGAGAATAAATAAATAAACCCTAGACAAATAAGCTCTGGTTTAATTTATTCACCTGTTCACATTTGAGCGTTGTACATGATGGTACTTGTTTTAAAAATATCTAAATATGTCTAAATATTGTCTAAATATGCATTCGCTGGAACACCATTTTAGAAGGATCTCAATGTCTACGTGTGCATGGACGCAAACATAATGAATATGCATCTCGTTAGCAGTTGTTCTGTTGAGTTAATAGCACGAAGTACAACTTGGTAATCAGGATGAGGATTATCACCGTGTATCTTTTTCAACATGCCACGAGCTTCATAAAAATTCTTGAGTGCGTCAGCATATTTGTGTGTTCGATCGTATACAATACCGATGTTGTGTAATGTAGAAGCTATGTTGGGATGAGGTTGATTACCATATATCTGTCTCTTCATGGCGAGACCTTCTGTAAAGTACTGTAAAGCTTTCTCATTGTCCCCTGTATCACTACATACAACACCAATGTTACTTAATATACTTGCTATAGCCGGGTGAGGTTGATCACCATGGATCTGTTTCAGGATGATGAGGGATTGTGTATAATATTGCAGACTTTGAGTGTGATCGCCCTTTTTATAGTATGAGCTACCAAGATTCACCAATGTAGATGCTATGTTAGGATGAGGATGATTACCATGTATTGTTCTCTGCATGGCAAGACTCTCATTGTGATATTGAATCGCTTTATCAAACTCACCTTTACTGTCGTATGTGTTACCAAGATTCACCAATGAAGATGCTATGCCAGGATGAGGATGATCACCATTTATTGTTCTCTCCATGGCAAGACTCTCCTTGTGATATTGAATCGCTTTATCAAACTCACCTTTACTGTCATATGTGTTACCAAGATTCCCCAATGAAGATGCTATGCCAGGATGAGGATGATTACCGTGTATTGTTCTCTGCATCACAAGACACTCCTTGTAACATTTGATTGCTTTATCAAACTCACCTTTACTGTTATATGCGATGCCAAGATTCCCCAATGTAGATGCTAGGTCAGGATGAGGATGATTGCCATGTATTGTTCTCTGCATTGCAAGACTCTCATTGTGATATTGAATCGCTTTATCAAACTCACCTTTACTTTTGTATGCGTTACCAAGACTCGCCAATGTAGATGCTATAACAGGATGCGGATGATAACCGTGTATTGTTCTCATCATGGCAAGACTCTCTTTGTGATATTGAATCGCTTTATCAAACTCACCTTTACTGCCAAATGCGTTACCAAGATTCCCTAATGTAGATGCAATATCAGGATGAGGATGATTACCGTGTATTGTTCTCTTCATGGCAAGACTCTCTTTGTGATATTGAATCGCTTTATTAAACTCACCTTTACTGCGATATGTGTTACCAAGATTCCCCAATGTAGATGCTATGTCAGGATGAGGATAATTACCGTGTATTGTTCTCTTCATGGCGAGACTCTCTTTGTGATATTGAATCGCTTTATCAAACTCACATTTTCCAAAATACGCGTCACTAATAGCGTCTAACCTTGCAAAAGTATCTGAATTCTTTGCAGAAGTCTCTTCTTCTTGTAAATCTGTATTGGTAGATTTATTAGAATCCCCCCGTGACAAATGTGGGACACATTTTTCTTTATTTTCCGTATCATTTTGTATAACATTGAATTTTTGGCATTCAAGAGAATTAATCACGCCTTGAAACATATACATCTCTTTTTGTATAGCTGCAGTTGTTTGAGGATTCAAGTCGATATAGCTAGATGGGTGCTTGCAAGTTGGAAGGTCATTAAAACAGTAGTTATACAACAAAAAATCTGTCCACGGAATGAGTGTGGCATAAAATCGAAAAATAGCGGGTGCATAATCTCTTACTGATACATAATCATAGGCGGTAATTAATTCATCTCGAGATGGTCTGGTTATAAAAGATATCATTTCTCGTTGTTGGCCACATCTACCATATACTAGATGGCGCATGTTGATGGCCATGCATACCATGAGTTGTAAATCTGTTTTAGCGCTCTCTGAGAGCACTTGCTTTAAATGTAACTCATCGAGAATATCAAGGGGAGAAAATGATCGACAATGATGTAATAACTTGAGAATATTTATTGATATGGTTGCAAATCGGTAAATATTGTGTTTTGCACGCATCGTTTTATTGAATACATTTGGCGTAAGAGGTTTGGTGAGGTTAGCCTTTAAATCTTCCCCTAACGTTTCTATTCCCCTTTGTTTACCCACAGACAGTTTTGGGTCAATGGTTGAACGAGAGGAAAGTATTTCGTGGACCTTTTCATTGTACTCGTTCCACAATGATTCATCCCCAGTGATCAGAGTAGATGTTAAAAGTACATCGCTAAGATGATAACCTTCCTTGAGAGAGACTTCTCCAATCTGACATTGAGACATTTCATCAAGGGTCATAATCAACTCTAAAGTGTCTTGTTTTGTAGGGTGTTTTGTAGATCGCCTACCGAAGGGTATTTTACTAGCTTTTGGCAGGGAACCATCAAAACAAAGACCCTGTGGGGTTATTTCATCATAAAAATCATTATCCTTGACACCATTTGGTAGTTTACTATTGAAATCGCAAAGAACGGGAATATCCAGGGCATTGATCTTCGTTTCACCGAGATTGATAATCTTCAGATGTAAATAATGAACAAGCATTCTAAAATCGCGTTTTAATTTCTCAATTTCCTCATTTGATTTACCAGTTGGGTCATACAAAATTGCTGATTCGAGGTCAGACCATGCGGTTACCTCTTTCCGAGCTAACGATCCTAAGCCTATTATTGCAAACCTACAGTTTGGACGACCTAGAACTGAAATACAGTCATCTATCATGAGCTTGTGTAATTCTATGATCTTACTCGTCAGAGTATCATAGTAACATTTACTATTTTCGATCGTTCTTCTTTGGCATTTTTCATTCATCTCGAACGTCACGGAGTCTATCAACATGTCTTTCGTGTGAATATTCTGTATCGCCTCTTTTGAATATTTTCGAATGCCTTCTAAAACACCTCTGTACCTTTCTCTGCTCTTTCTGAGGGGTTCCTTGTTCTCTTTGAATACTGTCTCAAGGAGGCCCGTTTCTAATTGTTGCAGTTGTTTCTGTATATAATCAAAACGATCAGCTAAGATTACCTCGTTTCCTGCTTTAATCTTTCTTAATCGTTGCAAAGCGGCATTGTACAGAGCTGTTGCATAGTTGAAATGCCAACCTTCCCGGGTTTCTTTTGCCAAATCTGCATATTCTTTACCCAAATCACACATTAGTGTAGCTTGTTTTTCTACTTCCGTCTGTTTTGTTATTTCTTTTCCTAAGTCATACATAGCTTTGGTAATCTCTGAAAATATTTAACTTTCCTCTCTTATATCAACTTATAATGAAAATAGTATTTCCCCACATCCCATTTATTCGACTTCTGAATTAAAGTCTCAAACAGGAATTCATTCATATTGTAAAAATCGAACCAGAAATATACAATCCCATGTTTTCAAACGACGTGTCGATTTTTTATCAAAATTGTCGACAATATTCGAAGAAGAAAGTTCAATATACTCTTATACTAACGCTGCTCCCCTTATCAACGTCCAGTTCCCGCACTTTTCAATGACAATTTTAAGAGGTTCATATATCAAAAAATGACATTTTATCTCACCTTTAAACTCAGTGCCTTCGGGTATGTAGTCTATCTTCTCCTCATACGTTCTTTTCTTTGCTTTGTTGCTGTGGACACACATCTCCAGCAACTTCTTCAATTGTGAAATCCCTTGAGTACAAAACAACTGCTAGAATTGGCGTTACTATGACAAGTTGTACATGCGTACGTTGTTCTACACGGGTTCTAAGTAAAATTACCATGACATTAACATGCAAAATGTCAAAGACGTGGACGGTCGAAGGTAGAACACCTACGCCAAAAAACCATCCCAAAAAAACTTACAATATGCAACCACTTGTGGTGGTGATATACTTACTAATTTGTGTGAACTCGTGTTTTGGTGTGTTATGATTGTACCAAGCTAGCATTCCATTCAAATTATTCACGTATTCATTCATATTCATAATTGCACAATTGTTGCTATTTACCTGTACTAACAATTAATAACAATAACAATTAATTTGTTGACAATTTGTAAGGTGTCCTGATTCCCTCATCAGTTTTCCATATACAACTGATTGGTATAGAAAATTAAAACATTTATGGGTGATTAAACTTGAATTCACTAAAGTGACTCTATGACTTCATGATATTGGTAATTTGAAAGAGGCATCTAAATCTTAGTTGTAATCATTGTGCACATTTTATAAAAATATAATTTTGAGTTGGAAGAATTTTTAGAAGGGATGCCCCATAAAATAAAGAAAAAGAACATGGTAGGTCAAAGGGATGGCCCTCTCTGGCATGAAACAAACTGCCTTTGTCAGGACCCTAAGGGTGTGTCAGGAGCAGTCTCTAAATTTCTTCAGTGGTACCAAAGGCACGGGAATGTGACTCAAGGTCAAAGCAATGGTAGCCCAAGAGAGAAAAATACAAGAAAAGACCACCACCTGCTCTGTCATCAAAATCGCTTTAAGTCAACCAGTAGTCTACGAGATTAATGGCTGCCTCACTTCAAAACCCGTGCTTCAGAGCTATAGACAACAGGTGATTGCTTTATAACGGATGCAAGGTCATGAGAACTTTAAAGAGAACAAAACTGGCCGATCATAACAATGAAAGATGCCTTCAATGGGCAACAAAGCACCAAAACTTCGGACTCATCATTGGTGTCATATCACATCATGTGATGAATGAAGATGTGTCCTCCACAACGTTGATAATTGTGTCCGTTTCTGTTGGAGACCAGGGGAAAGACACTTACTGATGTGGTAGTCCAAGAAGGCGGCCCTATTTATATTTGAAACAGTATTACAGAGTTCCTTTGAGCAGTACTAGCGAGGTTGCACCCACTTGGGGATGCCAAAGCATACTTTTAGAGTAATTTGACCATTGGGACGGTAACAGGAAAACTCATCCCCTAGACAACTCATCCCCTGGACAAATCATCCCCTCGACAACTCATCCCCTGGATAACTCATCCCCTAGATAACTCATTCCCTGGACAACTCATCCTTTGGCATGTTTGAGTAATTTAATGTAATATTATTAATTCATATATTATTCAAATGATTTTTAAATGCATTGGTTATCATGATCAGTTTTAAGTTTCAAAATCATATATTCCATGAACACTGGTACTCCACTCAATTATGTTTTAAACAGAGTGTTTCGGTAACAAAATGTCAGAGCCTCAAAGGTACGATTTTTGTATTTTCCTTATTTCGCCAGTAGTCTAGTAGGCTGAATATCATATGTATAAGAAAATGTAAATGTGTACATGCGAACAAATAGTTCAGAAGACAACACGGCCGTCGATTTAATATCGCACTTTTGTTACGTAAACAAAACTTCAAAAATGGTTAAGATCTGCACTTCTAACTCTTTCCATTTATATAAAAATAGTGAGGTATTAAAGCGACGATTCTGTTGTCTTCTGAGAACTAGTGAACAAAGACTTTCTCGAGGGGAAATCGGGGGATGAGTTGTCCAGGGATGGGTTGTCTGAAGCCATTTGGACCTACATCAAGTACCACATTTGAACAGAGTGTTTTGGGGCAACATTCAACTACAGAATGATCAGAAAGATAAGAAAGTCGATAACCACTACATACCTCCGCCAGGTAGAACATAATTTGATGACGTGGTTGGCGTCTGTCCCTTGTTATATTCTGTATTGCTCTTAACCAAACGTTCATATCCTTGAAGAAGATTTAACTGCATTTGACCACCTTAAACATAAAATTAAACTTGTAAACTAAAGCAATGTTAAGGTACTATCAATCTGACCTGCGTAACATTGTAGCATGAGATATTCTAAAGGAATACTTTGATTTAATGAAACAAACAAGTCTAAAATTAAAGGACACGAATCCTGTTACACATGTCCGATAAATGATATGCGTAAATTGAATGTAATTGATATTTATTAAATTAAAAAATACCAGTAAAATTCAATTTACGTGATTCACTTGTAGCATCTTTCTTCTTGTTGAGGAAATTCTGTATAGCTTGGGCTCCAGTCTTCTTTAACATTTGTTCACAGCCGGCACTCAGCATATTTAGTTCACGACTTGCCAATTCCGTTACTATTTTGATAAGTCCATCTGGTACATCATGTTTATTCTTAATTGAGTTGTCTACGATTTTGCTTATCAATTGTACTCTTTCATCTAGCTCTTCATTGGACGACAGGGGTGGAAAATTCAGGAATCTCTCTATATCTCTTAACAGACTCAACACGTTATCTAGAAAGTTAGGATTATCTAGTAAGAGTTCACGTTCATCACTCTGCTGTTCCGTTGAATCTTCATCGAAAGCATGTCTGCTATCACGAGCAGGATTCGCTCCTTGAAAAAATCAAATACTTATTACTACTTCAATTTAAATACTAATATTAAGTAATGCAAATACTACCAATTTTCTAAACATAACTCCACAGTGGGAAAGGCGCCAATGGCCGATTTGAACTACTACATATTCAATATTATTAATCGTGTCATTCAAGAATTGGAGACACCAAACCGTAAGGATCGGGATCCTAAGACTGTCCTGCAAGGTCACAATATAATGTTTCTCTTTTATTTTGGAATAATTTTCTTAACTATTATGGAATCGTGTTGACATTTGAAACCTTGGTATGTATAAATAACCAGAATCGTATGATGCTCGATGCTATCGATGTCATCTTGATACATAGAGATACGACGTCAGATACTGTACATCACGGCGTAACATTGTAATTGTTCATTTTACCGACAAAATGCAAAGATTTACGCGATAAATATGCGCAATGCCCCTCTCAGTAATTGCAAAAGTTTTAGTATTCGTGTAAATTCTTAAAAACTTCAAGTTTTGTTCAGATTAATGTGCGCTCCAATACAATTCTATATTCAAAAATGTTGTGTCGCGATATACAGAATTAGAATCACCAGAAAGTAGACATTTCAAACCCTACCCGCTTTCGTCTTTGTTGCGCTTTTCGGCTATGCGCTCTCGTTGTCGCACCGTCTTTCTAGACTCTTTAACAGAGCCCCTTGTCATATTCAACTGATATACACGGAGGGAAAACATTAAGGATTGTTTATGCATTGTTTGTAGTTTATTTTAACTCGAATATTTAGTTGTATTTATTTAAAGCAATGAATAATAAAGGAGAACGTATACGGCGTAAAGTCTTATTTTGTAAAGGCTTCACTTGGGGTTACGGTGATAAAATGAAGCCTCTCAATATATACTGGTTCAAATTAAATGATATCAATTGTATGTAGGGACGGGTATAATTAAAAGAACATGCTGAAACATTGGAACGTTTTGAAGGTTTATCCCTATGACTGAATTTTAATCGAAATGATCTAGTTTTTTTTAATAAAAATATAGAATATGATATACCTTTTAGGAATCAAAAAAGAATAATTCACCTTTCAAACGATTAAATGTTTAATTGATCAAAATATATATCTTGTTGGTACGACTCTCTGCCTGTCCACACTTTTTGGGCATAAATATAAGCGTTAAATTAGCATTGTTATATTATGACATCATCACACAGAATCTGTTTGTTTTTTTCAAAATGGCGAATTCAAATATTGTGAAAATTTGAGAAAAATGTTTCAAAATGTTACAGTCCACACTCGGTTTTAGCATAGAAAGTCACATCCTACGGCTTGCGTGATTCTCATTTAAAAAGTCCCAAATCAATTATTTCGATAAGCAAAATATTTCATGGACATATATGTTCAACTGATGACGAAAAATTGTATAAAAATACGATTTTGCTGTGGAGATATCGAGGTTCTAAAAGTTAGTACGCATGTAAAAATGCAGTAAAATGCCGTGATGTACAGTATCTGACGTCGTATCAGAGCACTTCAAGAATTTAAAACATTATCTTCAAAAACAAATTCCATAGGAAATGGGATATTTTTTGTCACCCCGTACCTCTTAAAGGAGTTCCATCTGGGAAGGAATGTGCTCTGTCTTCATTGTCGTCAACAAAGATGTCACTCATATGTTCATACCATCGAAGCAGCTTTTGTAAACCTACAAATGTTTAAATCAGTGGAATGTTCTCTTTCTTCATTGTCGTCAACAAAGATGTCACTCATACATATGTTCATACCATTGAAGCAGCTTTTGCAAACCTACAAATGTTTAAATCGGTTGGGATGACTTATAGCCGACTAACATTTATTTGTATTCCATGTCAAATTCGATAGAAATACGTTCATTGACCAGAGCGCGTGTGTAAATATACTATAGAGGTTATTTACTGGGAGGATTGAATATGGGGTTTATCCCGAGGGACACGATGCAAATCTTGCCACGAGGAATACACCCATATTCAATTCCGACCAGTAAATAAGTATTTTACCCATGATCTTCATAACTCTCTTTATTAAATTTTAATTTTAAAATTTAAATCCATCTATATTTTGTATGAAACATAAGCAGAAGTTTATTATATTTTTACTCTTCAAAATATCCTATGACAACTTTATGGCTTCATACTACTGACGTTTCAAAGTCTCTTAATTTTTAAATGGGAGGTGAATATAACTTTCGCGAGCGGGATGGGGAGGAGAATACCATTTTCGTGAGCGATTTGATGGGGCTTTAAAGTGGTGTGCAGAGCGGCTTTGCACGGCGCTTTAAAGCGCCATCAAAGCGCCGTTGACGTGAACTTAGCTTTAATGAATATTTACTTGATTCCTTCGGAGCACATTCCTTCATAATAATAGCCCGGGTTTCTTCACTATCAGCGTGCTTGAGAAAGCCAGGGACCACTCCGGTTGCTCGTTCAAGTTCACGTTGTACAAGCTGGTCGACCAGTTGAGAAAGACCATCGGGCCATTTTACACTCTTATTCTTAGCTTCAAAGAAACTGTCGACCATCTGGCTCAACAGATCTATTGTTGCTTCTCTGTCTTCAACAACCTCTGAATTCAGTAACTGCAGAAACAAGTCTCCGAGTCTATCAGACATAACCCGCCAACTGATCTCACCATCATTGACATCTATAAACGAAATGATCACGCAATTCTACCAATCGTCAGATAATAGCCATTCGAAGTTAAAGTAAAATACATTTGGAACTAGAAAAACAGCAACTCCACGGAGTAGCAAATCCCACCGAACAAAACATATTTAGATTATTAGTGGCCATCTTGAAAATTCCTTCTTGAGCAGAGCTTGTTTGTCCCTAAGCATCAACATATAAAATGTAAACCATATCCATAAATTAAAATTTGAGTTATCAAAGATTACATTCTTTTTTACTAAAAATGGCGGCCAATTCTGCAATCATTTTGAAAATCTTTCTCGAACAGAGCTATAGTGTCCCTAGGTATCAGCATATAAAATTTGAATTAAGAAAAATGGCAACCATTTTGAAATTCAGCTGCCATTTTGAAAATTCTTCCTCGAACAGAGCTACTGTGTCCCTACTGTGTTCGCTGGTATTAGAGTTATCAACATTTTATGTTTTTTACGAAAAATGGCCACCATTTTTAAATTCAGTGGCCATCTTGAAAATTCATTTTTGAACAAAGCAACTGTGTCCCTAGCCATCATCATATAAAATTTGAACCAAATTCGTTCACTGGTATTTGAGTTATCAAAGATTATGTTTTTTAACGAAAAATTGCCGTCATTTTGAAATAAAGCGGCCATCTTGAAAATTCTTTGTTGAACATAGCAACTGTGTCCCTAGGCATCATCATATAAAATTTGAACCAAATCCGTTCACTGGTATATGAGTTATCAAAGATTACGTTTTTACGAAAATTGGCCGCCATCTTTAAATTCAGTCGCCATCTTGAAAATTATTTCTTGAACAGAGCTACTGTGTCCTTAGGCATAAACATATAAAATTTCAATCAAATCTGTTCACTGGTATTTGAGTTATCAAAGATTACGTTTTTACGAAAAATTGCTGCCATTTTGAAATTCAGCAGCCATCTTGAAATTTTTTTGTCAAACATAGCTACTGTGTCTCTAAGCATCATCATATAAAATTTGAACCAAATCCGTTCACTTGTATTTGAGTTATCAAAGATTACATATTTTTACGAAAAATGGCTGCCATTTTGAAATTAAGCGGCCATCTTGAAAATCTCTTTCTGAGCAAACTCCCTTTTTCCTAGGCATCAGCAACTTAAATTTGAACCAAATCCGCAAACTAGTATTTGAGTTATTAAAGATTACATTTTTTACGAAAAATGGCGGCCATTTTGAATTCAGTGGCCATATTGAAAATTCCTTCTCGAGCAGAGGTCCTACACCCATAAGACATAAGCCTATAAAATTTGAATCAAATCCGTGAAATGGTATTTGAGTTATCGCCCGGACAAACGGACGGACGGACGGACGGACGGCTTTCCTATATACCTCTCGAACTTCGTTCGGTGGGATAATAAATGCGTGTAAATATAGCATCATGTGCTAAATTAAAACGAACACCATACTTGCCAAATGAGAGTATAATTAGCATAATTTAAATACAATTTTACTTTAATCGCACAGATCATTTGATTGAACCCGTTCCTTTTTCTTTCAATTCATAGAAAACGTCACCATTCCGTATGCTCATATTAAAAATTAATCAATTGAACGACAAAAAGAAACATTACTTCTAAAGCAATACTTACCTGTTATGTTAACAAGGCTTACGAAATGCAAGCGTGAGATATATCCCAGTCTTGCTAGCATTCTTTCTTTATCCCCAGGTCCTTCATTAGCTGTCATTGTGTATGGTTCATCGATTCCAGCAGAGTATATAGCGATATCTATACTATACAGTTTGGCAAAGGCATACAGCATAAGATTATCCCCCCATACACCCGATCTCACCATATACTCATCGGTATACCAGGACAATTGTCGAGTATGGAGATCTTCAGTTGATTCAAGGGTTGCTGAAAATTGCTGCCAGTCTTTATTATCCTCCGAATCAAATAGCGTCATAACATGCTCACCATTAGGCTGAATATGAATAAGAGAAATGTAAGGTATTTCTTCCGATTGGTACACACTACTATACCTTGCATTTGGTGTTCATGAGCAACCCATTTGGCTTATTAGTAATGATTATGTATTTGTTTTTATTTTCAATTCAATTCAATTCAATTATTTATTTCATAATTCTTATATAATATACACTATAAAAACAAGCCGCTAGACACCCTAGTGGGTATATGTTGCGGTTTAACAGAAATCATTAAAATGACAACTAGACTACATATAAAAGAAAACACTTATATTATGTTACATGTAGGTATATAAAAATGGTATTAACAATTAATCTAAGGATGTACAATGTAAAAATGTTACAAAAATAGGTACCAGTATAAAATCAACAGTATAGTATGAAATTGGTATTATACATTATCGATAGATGAGTAGTTTTTTATATGAAGATTTGAAAATATTTAGAGTGGAGCATTTTTTAATATCATGTGGTAGAGCATTCCAAAGATTAGGACCCAGATAGCGAAGGGAAAGTTTGGAGCATTTAGGGATATGAAAATAATGTAATTGTCTTGTGTAATGATGATGAATATTAATGTTGATATCAAACAAGTCTTGAAATAGATTTTTTGGAAGACTGGGGTGCTTATTAAAGATTTTGTACATGTACTGACCAGTACAATATCTGTTGACATCAAAAATATTTAATATTCTAAGATCTTTAAATAGGGGAGCGGAGTGAGAAAGTCTATCCTTATTTAAAGCTAGCCTTAAGAATTGTTTCTGCAGTTTATGTAGACGATCATAAAATGATTTAAATGTCTTACCCCAGATTATGTTGCAATAATTTAATTGAGAGTGTATCAATGAGTAGTAAATTGTTTTGAAACTGTCTATTTGAAGTAGATGTTTAATGTGATAAAGGGAACCAATGACGCGAGAAATCTTTGTTTCAACAGATTTTATGTGCTCTTTAAATTTCAAGTTTTTATCAATAATAATTCCAAGAAAGTCAATTTTTTCCCGGAAATTTATGTTCTCATTGCGTATTTTAAGATTCAGATTTGTTTGATTTTTTTGGGGTCCAAATAGAATAGCATTGGTTTTGCCAATATTAAGTGAAAGTTTGTTTGCTTTTATCCAGTCATCTATTGAATTCAAGTTTGCATTAGTTCTAGTCATAAGTTCATTTAAATCATAATCACTATCAAGAAGATTGGTGTCATCAGCAAACATAATAAATTTTAGATTAGGGGCAACAATGAATGGTTTAGCGGTTGAAAATTAGATGCTAGTAAGGCACTTTCAAAAATATATTAAACAATTCAATTAGACAAACAAAGTATCTTATGCATTTCTAGGTGTTAGGTATAGTAGTGTGTGGTACTGTAAAATTAATTTGCGTGCCCTAAATTCGCGTATCTTAGACCAGTGGATTTTACCAAGAATTTTGACCTAGGAAAATTAAATATGAATGTACCACTTAAAGGCCCGGTCACACCGCCCGGACGTTGCTGGAGCGTTCCTTGAACGTTGAAAAAATTCATCAACGCTCGTCAACGCGCACAAAATGGGGAAAAAAACAAAAACACGGGCGTTGGCTTAACGGTGCACCGCTGAAGCCGGCGTTGCTTTAGCGTTGATTAAGCGGTTGCGAGCGGTAGCTAGCGTTTGTTTAGCGGTAATGCGAGCGTTGGTATAGCGGCGTTCTGCGCATGAGAGCGTTGCCTCGGCGGGGGTATAAATAGCAGCAGCGTTGGTTTAGCAGCATATCGCGTTTGACTACTGGGAAATTATTTCAAGTGGGAAGTGTTTAAGAGTAAAGACCTTTATTGGAATTGGATTGGATTGGAATTGGAACTTTAACAAAAGTCCTTCAAGGATTAAAGAAGAAATGTTTTAAATCTAAAGTGCTTCTATTAATGTAATATGACATTAAGAATGAATAACATTACAATTTTCTTTAAATATCTCTCATATCATTTCAAACAAACATATCACAATTTAATCGTTGCATTTCCATTACTTGGAACCGATTTACGTTCAAATTGCTTTAACAATGTCAAATAACATTTACAGCAAAGTAATAATCATGACGCATGACAAATTTTTGCATTGCTGTGCGCGCATCAACTTTTTGTATAATACCATGACGAGTGCGACATTTTACAAGCTGCGCAGAAAATTCACAGATAATTTATTGAATTGCTTGACGTGAAAACACTAGGTATATACTATATTTGAATAAAGGTCTCAGTAAAAGTCTATTTGTATTAACATTTAATGAAAAACAAAAATCGCATAATTCACCTTTTTAAAATCCAAAATCACAAACTTTGAGCGCTTAATTTAGGAATTTACAATGCAAAAAATTGAAATGCCAGACATGAATATATATCAAATGTTAAATACACAAGTGTCTCCACAGTGTTCTACACAGTGGTGCATTTCTCCACGTATTTATAGCCAAATTCTGGTCCCGCTCCGACACCTCTATACCAACGCCAAAGCAAAGTTCATCACCGCCATGGAACGCTGCGACAACGTCCGACACCGTTCCAACAACCCCATGTACGCTGATAAAACGCTAACAACCGCTCCACCGACGTTTGTGCAACGTTTAATCGCCGCCCGGGCAACGCTGGCGAAGCAGCGGTGGTACAGCGTTTAAGATTTCTGCGTTGGTCTAGCGGATTCAATCGTCCACGAACTTGCGTCTAGCGGTGCCAAATTTTGACTGGGCGTTGGTGGAGCGGTGATAAACTTTGCCAGGGCGTAAAATTGTCCCTTTTTCAACGCTCGCAATATTTTGAGCAGCTCAAAACTTTTGGAGCGTTAGGATGGCCACTCGAGAAACATCCGCGTTGGCCGAGCGTTTACAGCGTTGCTTTAACGGATGCCAACTTTTGTTAAACGGTGGTGAACGTTTACGAGCGTTGATGATTTTTTCAACGTTCAAGGAACGCTCCAGCAACGATTAGGCGGTGTGACCGGGCCTTAAAGGCCCGGTCACACCGCCCGGACGTTGCTGGAGCGTTCCTTGAACGTTGAAAAAATTCATCAACGCTCGTCAACGCGCACAAAATGGGGAAAAAAACAAAAACACGGGCGTTGGCTTAGCGGTGCACCGCTGAAGCCGGCGTTGCTTTAGCGTTGGTTAAGCGGTTGCGAGCGGTAGCTAGCGTTTGTTTAGCGGTAATGCGAGCGTTGGTATAGCGGCGTTCTGCGCATGAGAGCGTTGCCTCGGCGGGGGTATAAATAGCAGCAGCGTTGGTTTAGCAGCATATCGCGTTTGACTACTGGGAAATTATTTCAAGTGGGAAGTGTTTAAGAGTAAAGACCTTTATTGGAATTTGTAACTTTAACAAAAGTCCTTCAAGGATTAAGGAAGAAATGTTTTAAATCTAAAGTGCTTCTATTAACGTAATATGACATTAAGAATGAATAACATTACAATTTTCTTAAATAATCTCTCATATCATTTCAAACAAACATATCACAATTTAATGTTGCATTCCATTACTTGGAACCGATTTACGTTCAAATTGCTTTAACAATGTCAAATAACATTTACAGCAAAGTAATAATCATGACGCATGACAAATTTTTGCATTGCTGTGCGCGCATCAACTTTTTGTATAATACCATGACGAGTGCGACATTTTACAAGCTGCGCAGAAAATTCACAGATAATTTATTGAATTGCTTGACGTAAAAACACTAGGTATATACTATATTTGAATAAAAGTCTCAGTAAAAGTCTATTTGTATTAACATTTAATGAAAAACAAAAATCGCATAATTCACCTCTTTCAAATCCAAAATCACAAACTTTGAGCGCTTAATTTAGGAATTTACAATGCAAAAAATTGAAATGCCAGACATGAATATATATCAAATGTAAAATGCACAAGTGTCTCCACAGTGTTCTACACAGTGGTGCATTTCTCCACGTATTTATAGCCAAATTCTGGTCCCGCTCCGACACCTCTATACCAACGCCAAAGCAAAGTTCATCGCCGCCATGGAACGCTGCGACAACGTCCGACACCGTTCCAACAACCCCATGTACGCTGATAAAACGCTAACAACCGCTCCACCGACGTTTGTGCAACGTTTAACCGCCACCCGGGCAACGCAGCGGTGGTCCAGCGTTTAAGATTTCTGCGTTGGTCTAGCGGATTCAAGCGTCCACGAACTTGCGTCTAGCGGTGCCAAACTTTGACTGGGCGTTGGTGGAGCGGTGATAAACTTTGCCAGGGCGTAAAATTGTCCCTTTTTCAACGCTCGCAATATTTTGAGCAGCTCTAAACTTTTGGAGCGTTAGGATGGCCACTCGAAAAACATCCGCGTTGGCCGAGCGTTTACAGCGTTGCTTTAACGGATGCCAACTTTTGTTAAACGGTGGTGAACGTTTACGAGCGTTGATGATTTTTTTCAACGTTCAAGGAACGCTCCAGCAACGTTTAGGCGGTGTGACCGGGCCTTAAGTAAGCTAGTCGATATACTGACCTCAAACTACACTACATTACTGTAGAGTATCTTGACATTTGATCAGTAATTGTACACGCGAGACATAGTTAGCTATGTTGAACAACTGGTCAAATACAAAATCTTTCGGATCTGAATGAAGTTTACCTTCAACTTTGCAAAAAAACAAATGAAGACTAATCTGAATGTTGGTTTAGTTTTAATACATTACAAAATTACAAGTCATACCAGTTCTTCTTAGTTTAACATAGTTACAAATAGATCTCATATTTCATCATAGTTTTACAAAACGTGTCTCATTTTCTGCTTTTGAAGCATACCGATGTCTTGTTTATTAGAATAGAAGACCAGGATGTGTGACCTTTAATTAATGTCATTATTTTAGCGGTATTTCTAAACACAAAATTATTGTCTTTCCATTCTGTTTCTCCTAAATCAACCCGACTTATCATTTAAGAGAATAGTGAAGATTGGTAATGAGGGACGTCTCACTAATGTACTGTTTGAAATGATAGGATATTTTAATATACGGTACGATATGATACGGTAACAAACTTTTTAATAATTTTTTTAGACCGGGCTTTTTCTAACCTTGAGTTTGAATCTACGTACCACTGAATCAACGTGCCCTTTAATCCACATGCTCTTGAATTCGCGCTAAACACTCAGACACGAATATAGCGGAAATTAGGGCAACTTGAAATTGGGCTTTTACAGCATTACAAAGGCATGCTAACATAATTTATGTTAATGCATACCTATGTTAGTCTGAGATGCATACGTTCACTTTACGAATCAACTATGGGCAATGAAATACTGTGACTCAATAGACGTGTGAATAATTTCAATTCATACCAATGTCGTATGTACTCGGATGCATTTCAGGAGAGATTGACGAAGATCATTTGCATTAACTTCACCAGATGTCAGGCGTTTTAATTGATCACTGAGAGCTTCGAAGAGACAATCCCCTTCTCCACTATTCTCAACGATTGCCAAGCCGTGCCTCTCCAATACTGAATCAAGTGGGTGGTCCAAGGTCGAATGCTCGCTTCTCCATGAATTCTCAAATGAAACTAAAATCAAAATACATCTGAATGAAAAAAATGCATGAGTTGAGTGACTCTTTAAGGATGGGTATTGATATGGTGAACTTTTTACACACGTTTCTCTTAAACCATTCATCAAACAATTCTGAAAATTTTACACATTGCCAATTTAATGGTCATCTTTTGAATGATGACAATATTATTTGAAATACATAATATACAGTATATTCTTTTCTCTATATTCTTTAAAAAAACATCAGACCCTTGTTCTTGGTATCATATGTTCGGAATGGAATGAAACATCTATCCAAACCACATTGGAACAAAATGACATGAATACAATGTGATTAGGTCTCTCAATTTTGTAATTGTACAAAGGAACGTTTGGTTTATTTAAAAAAAGTATTTTGTTAATGAAACAAAAGGTTTATCTTAATTTTTATCTATTCTCGGGATTTTGTTGTAATGTTTTGAATACTTTTTGTTAAATCAACCAAAATGTCCTTTGTATAACTATAATATTGAGAGGTCTAAGAAAATGGTGTATATCGGCTATTTTGTTCCATGAAGCTTCGGAAAGAAATGTTATTTCATTCTCAAGAATTAGTAGCAAGGAACAAAAAACAGTTGCACTAAAAAAATGTTAACAAAAACGGTCAAATAAAATATATATAAATTATCTTTGCATTAAATTGTTGTCAATCAGTCAACATTACATAAAGGGCCCTGTTTCTTTACAGAATGTTTTCAATAATTGATTTAAGAGGAAATCATTGTTCAATTCACCATATCGATACCAATCCTTTATTCCTGCAATATTTTAAGGATATACACTCATGTCGATAGATGAGCAGTTATTCTGACATAGCCCGGCAAGGTACGTCAAAGTACGGTCAATCAGAGCACACTATTTTAACTAATGTGAATGCATGAACGAATCAACCACACACTATTTTTTATTCTGTAATAATATTTCTAATTTGAAGATTCCAGTTAAACTAATTACATCAATTTCATAATTGAGCGAAAATCTATAAACACAGGATGTTTCATATACATGCACCGCTTATGCTCATACATAAGCATTGCCACCTTATCATTAATACTACAGGGCGTCCATAAAAAAGTATTCCCAACTTTAAAACCAAATTACTAGAATCCTAAGCAGATCTTTTTAAATACAAATAAAAAGCCTGAATTATTCTCCATCAAATGGTACAAAGATCATCATGTAACTGTCATGTTCGACTGAGCAATATTGACCATTATGAGAGGTGGTAAAATTAGCAATGTGCCAAGATACCTTCCTGTGTGGCAATTGATGTGTATAATTGGCTTAGTATTCTTTTTTTCTGTTGCAATAAGTTAGATGACAGGCCTTCCATACTGAACAGGACTTGGGACTGAGTAACTCTCATATGAAAAAAAGGTTTGGCAAAAAGCTTTACTTCTAAAATAGGTCTGCAAAAATGGTTCAACTGACACCTGAACAATAAGAACCAACCAAAAATTCTAAAAAGCAAGTCTCATGTACTGTTTATAGAACCCCTATTCTTACTATTGAAATAGATTTTAGAAATACTGTCCCATATGAATCTACTTGTTTAGGCTCAATAAACTTGAGTTCTTCTCAGAAAATGAGGATTTCAGCAATGGTTATTGACTTTACATGGGGGTACAATTGACTTCAAAGCTGCATATCATCAAGTAAAAGTTTCATTGCTGATCAAAAGGCTTTGGATCCAATTTCTTGAGAGGGAGGTACAAATTAAAAGTTATGGAAAAATATGTAAAAGTGTGAAGAACACGAAACAAGTTTGAATTTGAACATTAATAATGTTTTGAACACAACAAGATAATCCAGTGAAAAAATCACTGAAAAACTACAAAGACCCGAAGTTAGGTATAAGGGGCGGAAAAGATGGAGTGATAGTGAAATGTTGCTTTTATTACTATTTTATTATTTTCAAACTGTGAACACAATTTCTATATCTGTTTTTTTGTGCTTTGATGCAGTATTGCATTACCAAGAAAAAGTTTAAATATACGAATAAACTCTAACAAACTTCATTCGGTGACATAAAACAATCATGTAACTTAAGCACATATTTCAGTATATTGTGGCGTCTTATAGCCCAAAAATATACAACAAATCTCAAAAAGTCCAATTAAATCCCCAGTGTATGACATCTGGACCCTGATTGAAACTCATTGGATCTTGTCGTGACATCATGTGGACTCTGTGGAAAGTTCTAATGTACATCATCCTTCTTGACCTTTGTTATTATTACCGTGCCCTGGAAATATGAGATAAAAGTATATCTTATATGTGTGGCCTTAGTCAATACATTTCCTGCCTGTCTTTGTACAACATTTATACCTTTGAATGAAGATATTTCATGTATTCATACAGTTCATACTAATAGTTTTTTAAATACATATTAGTACTTCTTGCAACATAAACCGCGGCTTTGAATGAAGATATTTCATGTATTCATACAGTTCATACTAATAGTTTTTTAAATACAATATTATTGTATTAGTACTTCTTGCAACATAAACCGCGGCTTGGAAGGGTCGAAACACTCTTATTACTTTGTCGTAAATAGAAAATAAAACAGAGACCACTAGCAAAAGAAATAAACCAGTTTTAAGTTTAAGACCTACAAATTACGTTTCCTCCGTTTTTAAAGTAGCACGTTCACACGTTTGTGGTTCATGTAATAAAAATGGTATTGCTTTACCTCTCTATTGTTACAAAATATACATTAGCTTTTAGTCTTTTAATCTCTTGATTTGATACATACCTTGACACCTTAGCATGTACACTTCTACAGTAAACTTCTTTATTGTCTACTGAGCCCAAGTTTTGCCAATTTCACACCTGATTTGTAATTTAATATATGTCTTTGTTGACATAACCTTTATAATTGTTTGCGTTATTTGTTGTTGCACTTGTTGTTGGTGTGCGTGGTCGTATGCATAGGATCTTGTTGTTGTTGGCGTTCTTGTTCTGAAAAAGAAATGAATTGGGGCAGTCTATATTCATTTGAGTTCCGACCTCGACCTTCCAGTTTAAAAAACTATCGTTCACTTCTTATGTAGATGGTAATAGCCAGTCTCGTGACATAAGTCTGGCGGGAGGCATCTAAGGTTCAATGTCGACGGATAAGCCTATAAAACTAAATAAATCTAGAAGGGGGGGGGGGGGGGGGGAAGCCATTTCAGTTTGCTATCAGACAAATTTTAACATTTCAATTTTTGTGCAATTTTGACTCGGATCAGAATTCCTTTGAATGGTTTTAAAATAAAGAGTTTACTTGATGTTTTCTGCAAATGCTGTTTACTGTTGTTGTCACATGTTTTAAGAATTCTACATTGTAGCCTACATACGTTATGGTATACCCTTTGCATTCGTTTGACTTCACTTCTTAAAAGAGAGCTTCGTCTTCACTCTTTCAAACTAAAATAAACCTGTGAACTCACCGCGCCAATCAGTGTTCGTCGGCCAAATTTTACCGACGTTCTTTATATGGTCATTCCTTCTGACGTCATCGTTGAGCCCGGAATTGACCAATGACATGCGCATAAACAATTAGAACGCATTTGGCGTATGTTTCTTCAAGCTCGCTGATTGGTGGAAGGTCAGCGCGTAGGTCAAAAGTGATTTACCCAAACTGTCACCGGTACCCGTCGTGGGGGCGGGGCTACTAAACTGTAATATGGTCTCTACTAGGCAGAGTGTAGTTTAACTAGACTCGGCACGCAGGGTAGTTATGGTAATATCCCAATGAAAATCCAAAATCCACGAAAGTCCACACGCGAAAAGTCCGCGATGATCACGTTTTTTGGGGGGAGGGGGTTAAACTCAAAACTAGATTAATTTAGCTTCCTATCAGACATTGAACTTTTGATACCTCTCCTTGCGACCAGCATAGCATCATACTAGATTTACAGAACATTAAATATATCAGCAATCAGTGTTGACTAGCCTATTTGAACCATCTGAAAAACTCGTTGAACCATGAGTAACTAAATTTCTTCAAGTTCATAAATTGATTTTGCGCCACTTCTGGCTCGAATAATGATTCAGTAAAATAAGAAGTTACAATTCTATTCATTTCTACAATCAAGTTGAAGTGAAATTCGATTATAAATACTGAAAACCAGGCTTTAAATGACAGAAATGTTAAAATACGCTTACCCGTTCAGACAAAATTGAGAGCAATGGCGGACAATGCGTTCTACGTCACATGACGACATTACTTAGAAACACAATCGATCCGTAATCGCGTCATATGACGATTTAGTAGTTCCCTTGACAATTTGCCATATAAGGTAATAAAGGCGGTCTTTAGGTCACGTGACCGATCCACTGGCTCATGTCCGGAATAAGGTACAAAGAACCGCACTTCGTGGGGGGTCTTTGTAAAAACATCCACTCTGTCATTCTTTCTTGAATGCTAACTTGGCACAGTGCTGATTTTACCACCTTTCATAAAAGTCACGATTGCTCAGTCATCCATGACAGTTACATAATGATCTAGGTACCATTAGACACGCCTAACCATCGACAAGGTACAGTCACGTGACCGTGACAAAATATGCCGTAGTACACTTTTGATGTACAATGTCATTTCCGCCATTTTAGATCGCCATTTTCTAGAATGAGGAAGCGAGGAAAGAACTAGCATTGATTTGATCAATATTGTGTCAGTTCATCATCAGGTAGTTGTTGCATTCGATTTGTAATTAAGTTGCAAATATGTATATCTACTTTAAATGATCCTCAGCAACTTCAATATCTTGTTATAGATCTACCCAGCACGTCAGGAATCTCTAAATCTTGACTGAATTTCTCAAAATTCTCTCTAATTTTTGTTTTGCTATGCAAATAACAGCCAAACTACGACTAACACAACTTAAGATAAGTATACAAATATACATTCAGAGTTAATGCAAAACCGCTTTTTACTTTGGATGCTACTACGAAAAATAGATAATGTATGTTGTCAACTCGAATGTATGTTGTCACATTGGCCTTACAGATCTCAATTCACAGTTAATTTTACAGTGAATGAAATACTATAATGTACGTGTAATAGAAGGAACATATTTGATAATAAAGTAATAATATTTAATAGGCATATCAGATATATTTACCCTAATATTTTTTCCGTTAATCCATAAAATTGTCATTGATATGATTAAATGTCAATGTTACTAATTCTTTTTTTGTGTTCCATACCTGGCTTTTGAACTTCTGCACTTTCCAGATATACAGTGTCCCAAAGTATCCCCCCCTCCCTAGGCAGACATATACCAATGTCTCCATAGTATGTGTCATATATTATTTTCAAGCTTATCCAAAGTTACATTGATTTGCCAAATATGATGGTTCAAACGGTAAAAAGTAACAGGCATTTCAAAAATTAGCGTTTTGTCAAAAAGATAGTTCATTTCAGTATCCTGGAAACAGCCCTGACCCTGTGACAGAAAATATGGATGCCATTCTCGAATATAGGATGGTTATTGAGTTCTAAAAAGATGACGTTTAGGGTAGATACTCCAAGGAAACTCTTCTTATGCCTTAAAGTGCCTGATAAACTATAAAATGCGCATGCGTCCAGGTGTTGATAAACTATAAATAGCGAAAACCCAGGGTTTGTCATCACAAGGTAAGCCAGGACGTGTTGAGCGAACATCTAGTGTTGATATTGAATTTACATGTAGCCAGATAAGTTTCCTTATTGAAATTACATATAGTTATTAGCAATACTTTGTAGGTGATAATTAATAAAATATGAGTATATATGAGAGAAATTGGCCATTTCGAACCTGTTGAAAGTTTGTGGCTCTCGGCTACACCGGGGAATTTACTTCCATGAGTACAGACACAAATGTGGGGCTCCCCAAGAGGTACGCGAGAAGGTGACCTGGCATCAAATGTACGACTAAATGCTTCTATCGAGTAGATAAAAGAACGAATACGACAATAAGTTATTGCAAACGACAATTCCGAGCATTCATCTCACTGAAGTATTTTGATATGAAGAAAATATGATTTTTGTTTTGAAACATGGATTCAGATGAACGTAACTTCATTCTGACAACTAATCAAAACTGAACAAAATTGATTATACGTAACAGACGATTTATTGTTTTACAATGTTTTGATCGGCTAAACGAATGAAACCAAGAAATTATGACATGTAAAATGGCAATTTTGAAATGTAAAATTTAAAAGTGACAAACACAACCTCCCTATCTACTCTTTATGAGCCCTAATATGTACATGCAGCAGTGGTAGTGTACAGCTTATTATCACACTACTGGGCTTTGTATTCTAAAGCTTGTTGTTTTTAATAACACTGTTCACTCGACGTAAATGTTTTGTGTGTGCGCAGTCAACGATAATCATTGTTTTATCCCGGTTATATGACCTCGGCAACTATAACAAAACCGTACTAAACGAAAAAACGCAAATAAGAGAAAGCTTTCACACACATATAAAAAAATGAACTAGTCTAATCCGCCAGTATAAACTCTGTTATATACGTAGCCAGGTCGGGCGCACACTTTAAAAAGGTTTCATGAGGATTACAAAACGCCATATCCCTATTTGAAGCCTGTTTAAGGTCATATATGGAAAGTATTGCTGCTGTTAACATGGCGGCTAAGGAGACACTCCGACTATTGTTTTGGTGTAAAACTGACTTAAATTTTGGCCAAACACTAACTTTTGTATTCCTGTAACTTTTTCCATTTGTGAGTTGAACCATGATACTCGGCAAATTAATATAACTTTAGATGAGCTTAAAAATGATATATGACACATACTATAAAGACATTGGTATATGTCTGCCTAGGGGGCCCATACTTTCGGGACACCCTATAGCATAAATTTTGAAAGTCATCTTGCTAGTATAGATCTCTCCATGAACTCCTTGAGATTATTAAAATTCATAAAAGTGCAACTAAACATAACGTAACGTACCGACGCCGAGTGGCCAAAAAGGTCGGAAGATATCACGCCATGGTCACATATTAATCACCATATTAACACTTTCATAAATTAAAATAGCATTCAACGAAAAAATCACGTTTACCTGTTTATCTATACTAGGGATACAGGAGCATGTTCGTTGAACATCACTTGTTACGCATAAAACCCCTAATGCATTTTGAAATTAAATCATTGCAATGTTTAATATTATAACTCATGAATTTCAATTACAGGGACAACATACACTGTGAGTTGACAACGTACATTTCTGATTTTTTAAATTATACCAAATGCATGAATATTTATTAAATCTTAACCCGTCTTATATTGTGCAGTTTAGAGAAACACATTCTCATTAAAATATTCGACACTCCGAGACGTCAGGGGAGAAAATTATCAAAGGAAATGTGTAAAAAACAACATTTTTCCGACCGAATAATTGTATGGGTAGACGTACAACGAAAAAAATCGAGCACTGCTCGACGATCTTTTAACGTAATTAGAAAAATAAATGTCTTTGAAATCGAATACACGCGAAATCATATAGGAAATCCTTTTTGTATTCATCAAATTTATTTTTGAAAACCTGCATCAAACCTACATCATAGTCTTTGCTTAAAATCAGTTAATAGTGACATTGTACATCAAAAGTGTACTACGGCATATTTTGTCACGGTCACGTGACTGTACCTTGTCGATGGTTAGGCGTGTTAGATGGGGAACAAAATAGGCCTTTTATTGCTACCTTTGTATTTTTAAAAAATGCTCAGAACTTTAGTATCCTGGCTTTGAAGTTGGGTATATTTTTTTGTGGACGCCCTGTATACGAGTTCCCTAAAAAGTACTTCAAAGTATCAAATTATGCGGGTACGGAGTCATTTGAGGGCTATTTCTGGTCATTTTGATTTTAGTTTCCGTATTGCACATTTTCTAGCAGCTCGATCAGTCTGCATGTGTGTGTCAGTTATACACAAATATATATACACTCCCCTCCATAAGTTTGGCAACCTTTTTTCCCCATTGAACTACGTGTTAAAGCCTCTTTACGTTTGAATTTTTATTTACTTAACCGGCGATGAAATAACTTATAATATTGATGGAAACGTAACTTGACTTTATTTCCAATACCTCCAAATTTTCTCAATTTTTTTCCTGGATTACAATAGGTCGAAAATTGATGATAAATTTGATGAATTTTTGAAAATCGTCATTCCCATGTAATCCAATGGGAAATGGAGGGTTCGGGGCACATCAAAAATCAGGATATATTTTCAGTAAAAGATTCAGCAAAAAAAAATTTATATAGGAAATTGAATTGTCTAACTTTTTTGATCACTAAGTGTTTAGTTTATTTGATGAATATTAAAGTTACAGCGCTTCAAAGTCATTTTTGAAAATAATTTTTCGCCTCTTGTGTTATTTCAATGGGAGAGGTTTTTTGAAAAACAATTTTGACTTTAAAGCCCTATAACTTTGTTGAACCTGAAGAAAGATATCAATTTTTTGTTAAATAAAGTTAGCAAATTCAATTGCCTGCCTAACTCGTATTTTTTACAAGGACTCGGATGGATGGATATTCTGTCATATGACTTGCGGCAAACCTACCATTTCCCATTGGTTAACATGGGAATGTCGATTTTCAAAAATTCATCAAATCTATCATCAATTTTCGACCTATTGTAATTGAGGAAAAAAATTGAGAAAATTTGGAGGTATTAGAATTAAGATCAAATTCATTCCCATAAATAGTTTAAGTATTTTCATTGCAGGTTAAGTAAATAAAAATTCAAAGGTAAAGAGGCTTTAACACGTAGTTCAATGGGGGAAAAAAGGTTGCCAAACTTATGGAGGGGAGTGTAGACAGGATTCGTGCAAGGAAATGTAGGGAGGCCAGGAACCATGATTCAACATTTATATTTGAAACGGTATAGCAGACAAAGTGAACAGATCACCGGACTGGGTCAAACAATCAAAATGACCCGAAATTGCCCTCTTAATGAACCGATTCGATATATTGTATCTTTTTCGTGGACATATCTGGATCCTGATACGTCACAATATTGTGCAACTTTCCATATTTTGTTTTTCTGGCTATCAGAACTTCGTGATAATTCGCACCTTCGCACCTAAAGCCTTTTGTTCACCAGACAAATTGAAATTATTTTAATAAAGTAACATTTTCTGAAATTATGGAAACTATTGTCTGAATGTCTTATACTCCACATTTGTAACATAAAGGAGAATTTGGAACCTGTATGAACTTAAATTTCATTGAAAATATTGTTGAGTGCCTTCCAATGTAAAATACGAAGCATTTTTTTTTACTTTTTACATTGTGGTCAATGTGAGAACAAAATAAAATTGATGACCTAACATTGACAAACTTATATTGTTAGCCTGAAGAGTTGTGGTACCTACATTATTGTTCATCAACCCATTTATTTATGTAGCCTTAACATGTAAGATACATGTACTGATAATAAACAAAAACGCAAATTATCAAAATATACCTACATTTCGAGACTTTAGGCCCGGGGTTCAAATGGACACCACCTATGACCAGCAGCAAAGTTACAATAACCAACAGTAGGGGAAACACTCGTAGGCGCGGGGTGGTCCTTATGTTGCTCTCCACTGATGAAACATTCGACTTCTTGGATGATCTCTTTAAAGAAGAATGGACCCGAGTCTTCTCGGCTGAAGGTCCTCGAGGAGAAAAACAACCAATTGCAATACGCCATTGTTGAGAATCATTCCCCATAGTTACCTGAAAGAAACACCAAATCTCAGCTTGTATTCCTTACTCGAATGTTCAAATACACTGTGTATGATGGAAGAAATCGGAGCTCTTCAAGTGAGTCGTTGAGAAGTAGGATCTACTGAAGTGCTGAAGATGCCATGCAGTGAAACCATACACAATTCATTAACAATACAGACTAGTGACAATAAAATGATTGATAAAGGACCATTCATATTTGCTTTTCATAGAGGGTGAAGGATTTTTTCAAAATATACCTATAAAAATAATCCCATTCAATGTGTTTTGAATGGTTCATATTGACTCTATTCAAGCATTTCTAAAAATTGTGTTTGCGTTACCAAAACGTTGCTACTATACACAAAGATGTTTAGAATTTAATTGTTGCATTCTGATATTGTTGATTTGTCAACCTTAGGTAAATTCACCAGGTAGATATCTAGCTATGTGTATGTTTTATAAGATATCTGATAGTGCAGATCCCAAAAATGTACTTGATGATGTCTTTACTCTCCATACTTCAAAAGCAGAAATAAGCACGAATGAGTCGGTTTCTATGAAATAGACGTGAATGTTGCAAATATAAAAGTCCATCATTACCATTCAAATGTATACACACTTCTCTCCCGTGTAGACCTTAATTCTCGTTTAGGTCAGTCATTGACCTAGCAAAACTAAAATCAATCCATGCCATAAGATATAAGTACACCATAATAGGTGAAGACCAACTACATGTATATATTAGCTTTAACCGGAGAATATTCGTAAGTGCATATATAAGGAAGTAAAAATCAGAAAATTCAGGTTCGTGTTTAAGTTGACAAGCTAATCCCGTCAATTATAGTGAATAACTTCAGTCTAAACATTTTTACCTTAATTTATGTATCACTATAGCTTCTAATTGTAATAGCCTCCATCAAATATACATTGTAAGAAAAACTCTTTGATTTACATTTTCGAACGAAACATCCGGATGGAACCGAGGCTCTATCGGACTACATGTATAGAACAGTCTACAGGGTGGCCACAATTTTTTATTATAATTTTGCATTTATATTTTTTACTGCTGACCTATCATATAATCGATTCCAAACTTGCACTGGCCAGTTTTTGACTGAGATGGGTTAACATATAATGGTGTCAGCTCAAAAGAGAGTTGACGGCGGAAAACAAATCGTTTGTGGAGAAGCTCAAAAGTGACGAACATTCGTTCAAACACAAGGCGCATCGTGTACAGTATGAGCACAGCATGGGCGTGAAAGATTCTATATCAACGGCCATGGGGCAGATTAGCAACAACTCGCCAGAAGAAGCAATGGCAACACTAACATCAGGTATGTCAGCTATAGATCATAGAAACAAGCTCATTAAAATCGCCGATGTTAGCGAAATAGGCTGGGCAGCCGTAGAAGAGTATGAAAAGAAAGCCATCGCAAGTGATAGCGATAAAAAGATTAGACGGGCTCAATCAATTTCATTTAGAAATATTTCCAAAAAACCTAGAAATAGATGTAACCAAAAAAGGTCAAGTTTCAGAGGCAGCACCGACTCAAGACAACCAGAAGAAGGCACCAGCAGCGGTCAGCAAGCCAAATTCAGCAAAACCAGTGGCAGTGGTCAGCAAAACCAAAGAAGTGGGCGTTCCCGAGAGAATGATATCTGCCGTGCTTGCGGAGGCAAAGGTCACTGGGCCTACGAGTGTTATTCCACATACATGGAAAAGCAGCAGAACACTAGCCAAGGAAAGCAGTAAGAAGGGTACGTTGTCAGATTGTGTTATTGCTCCAGAGTCAAAACATGTGAAAGACAGTTTGAAAATACATTTCGAATTTTGGTCACAAGAAATCAATGCGCATAGTTATGTAAAAAGCATCATTTCAAAAGGTCAAATTATTCCCTTTTTATCAGAACCATACGAAGCCATTGCTAAATAAATGATTATTTTGTTCAGCTTGTAAGAGCAAGTGCGGGGAATGATAAGAAAAGCTTATTATATGTTTAATGCTGAGAATTACATGTTTATTGCCTTTGCAAAATACCTTTATGAAATAATTGAAAAGAAGTCAACTATATTAACAATATATAGATATGGTTAATACTGTATATGCAAGTAGGCTACTAGTAGTGGTTAGTATATATCTAATGATCAGTCAATCGCATTATATTGTCATTAGGATATGCCATGTGAAATTTGCATTGTATGTTATTGTAATTGTATGTAAAGTTTTATTTTAATTTTATCATGTTTATTTGCTGTATACTTACCCCAAAAGGGATTTTTTAGTACAATAAAGTATTGAAATAAACACAATTATGGTTGTTTAGGTTATAGACATATGACATGATTGTTTTTATCAACAGAGTTACGTGTGACTAAGTCATACTTACACCTATGTAACGCCCCACTCTCCATCTTCGCCGTACGCCATTTCCCCATAATAAGCCATCTTTGATTTCCAAGGGCTGAAGTTTGATAGAAGTAAAAAAAAATACACAGTGAGTTCAGCGATTTTCCCCAGCTCCTTTATTTGTCTTCATTGGTAGTCAGATACTGTTAAGTCAATTCTATGACACATTCAATGAGAAGGGCGACTGTGTTCAATAGTCCAATATTTTGTTCGATGTCGAAATGGAGTATGTCCCATGGAACAGGTTCAGCATTAGTACGCTTTGAATCCCCCTCCAATACGCACTTACTGAATATACTACTTTTTCACAAGGTGGGTTAAAATCGATAACGGAAGGTAAAGCCTTATGGCACAACTTGATTGGAGCGTGTATGGATATAGGAAGTTGGTTATTTGGTTTCCTGTAAAAAAAGTTTTTTTCCTTTTCTTGCCTGTCGCAGCGCCATCTGGTGTTTGATAAATGAATCAAGGTTTATTCTCGATAGGGTAAGTACTAATCTATCAGGAAACATTTACAAGTTTGGTTAGAAACAGGATTTTTAGAGATGGCAGAGTGATTTTCGAGAGTGTAGAGCAGATTAATTTTCTGAAACAGGTAGCTTTACAGATTCAATTATCATCAAAAACGATGTGGTCATCGTATCAAATCTTGTAACGGAAAGCTAGACAAGAATCCATCAATGAACACTGAGCACTATTTTGCTGAGCTAGATCTATGCCCGTGAATATATTAATTATGAAATGAAACGTTATAATGGTCCCAAATTGGATTTTAACTGCAATCTTGACCCTATGTGTAAATTGCATGGTGGAAAATAATAATTATCCAATCGCAAATTAGATAAGCGAACGACACAATTTTATTAATGATACCAGTGGTAATAAATATCCAGTCATCCAGTCATCCAGTCATGTATTATATTTGTAGTAATGTCACATTTAATAATTATTCTTTCACACTAGTCATGCCGAAGATCTACACGGATATCTTCAATATTAATCGTGGGAAAACAATCGTCTTGGCAGCCCTCCATCCCAATTAGTAAAACACAATCTACACGCTTTAGGATAGTTTATACGTGAGCTATTATGATCCCAGGGACTGCTACTGACCTAAACTCATTTGGTTATTCAAGGGAATATTTTTCTTATTTCTTTATATTCAATCGGTAAAAACAATGCAAACACATTGAAAGAGAGAGCCTATTCTAGAAAAACGTATGGGTGGGCTTGGGGTAAATAACATTCGTGAATGTATGTCATATCTGAGCACGGACCTGAAGAAATGGATTGGAAACTCTTCAAATTCTTTTCTCGGCCTACATGTATTTGAGCCGCTAGAGGGGTTGTTGTCTACTGGGCATGCGCAAACGTTTCTTTTTTGGGAGAAGAAATGGCGGAATGTGATCTGAGGAATATGAATAATAAACTCTTTTGGTATGATATAAACCAATTGATATAAGGATCTTAACTTGGACATTATAAAATCCCATCCTCTAAACTCTCAGATGTATCAAATATTTGAAATTGCTGCAGACGTCATCTCAACTGCCTTTCACTAGAAGTATTATTAATTGTTTGCAAGATTTAACAACCCCCTCCACAAATGTGGCAACCGGGAGGTTTCAAATGTATGGCGTATCAATGCCAAAACCCGTCCCTGTTGGATCTTAATTTTCTTAAATACAATAGTTCGGAGATTGAAAACTCATGATGATTTTTAATGACAAATTATAAACAGGCTTTGAAAGGTGATCCAAAAAGGATTTTCTCGTTACCAAACATGCGGAAAGGTTGCATCATTAGTATGTTATGTAACAAGTGGGCGGGTTATATTTTCTGTATTTATTAAATCATTTTTTGAAAGCAATACATTGCAGGTTAATGCGTCTACATTCACAATACATTCAATTCTACATGGAACAGGATCTTAAGAGGTTCTGGACAAATCATTTGATTCTGGACTTGTCATATTTTTTTTTCAACGAAATCACATCCAAGGGTTGAATTTTTATTAGCTATTTAGAGAGTGAGTCCTGCCTAGTATTAATTTCAATAAAAAAGTTAAAATAGAACCCTATTTGAGAGTCAATCTAATACTTACATTACATTGATAAATTAAGGCAAATACTGTAATATTTTTAAAGTGCGTTTTTTAATGAAATGTTATCCAGCAAGTATTTAAATGAAACGGTCTTATTTAAATACAAATCATAACATGATATTTTTCATGAAACATTTTTCAATGAAATTCAATTGAAGGGTCAAGATAAAACGAGCTAATTTAGGTGAAAACCCTTACATGATGATGTGTTTTCATAACTTCTTTCATAAAATTCCATCAAGGGGTGAAGATAAAATGATCGAATTTAAGTGATTTAAGGATCACGAGAATATGTTTTCTTTGATATTTTCTATGAAATCCCATCCAATGGTCAAGGTAAAATTTTGATTTTGATTTGGTCACGTGTTCGAAAGATCCATATAAGGCCCATAGAACCATATAGGAACGTCATTTTGAATGTCACGTGATAGATCCATATAAGGCTTTTAGAACCATTTATGGAAAGATGAGGGAAGCCCCTGACACCTGTTTCACGATTTTTATGCACTTCATTATTGTACCGAAGTTTGCCGATTCGATTCGTCGTATTTCGGAATCCTGGTGACAATTTTATACTCCATTGGAGTATTTTTGACCTACTTCTTATGACGGAAATTCCCGAACCTTGTTCGGATTAATCCGGATTTTCTGACCTACCTTATCTACCGAGATTTCACGAGTTAACATTCGTCTCATTCCGGAATCCTGGTGACAATTTTATACTCCATTGGAGTATTTTTGATCTACTTTTTCTGGATTTTGCCCTACTTATTATATCTTGACAACAAGCAAATCAAAAAGTTCGACATGAACGGGTCTCGATCAACTAACCTAGACTATGGAAGCCAGGCACGCTAACCATTAGGCCAACGAGCTACCGATATGAAAGAACAAAAGTATTATATATTTATACCGAGCGTCAATTCAAAATGATCCTCACTTTTGTCTCCACTTAAATACGACTCGTCAGTTGTATCCAGAATAGTAGAACGCCTATGGCGCTAGTGAATAACCAAGTCCCAGGGGTGAGTGGTTCGTATCCCTCCGTGATATACTATTTTGTTTTATTAAATACGACAGAAAGGAGCAAGGTGTAGGTTGAAAACAAGACGTTAGTTTGTTTCAAAACAGTTTGGAAACATTAATCTCTGATAATTTAAGGTTTTCCACTCCTGAAGGGCCTCTAGATCTATGAAATTCAATAATCCACTCAGTAAAAATACGATTTCTCTGCAACCTGATGTCCAATCAAGATCATTCAAATATATATGTGTTCCTGACACGTTTGGGCGTCCGGGAATAAAATTGCTTGTGAAAACTATTTACAAAAGTGTTCCAGAGACCCTTATCTACTTGGCTAAGGTTTTATTTGAAGATACATTGCCTTATTAGCAGGTAGAGGGGCATACAGAACACAGAAGCAAATGCTATGTTGAAAATTTTCTATATTTCAATTTTTGTGTTTACATGTCACGTA